CCAAAGGAGGTGGTTTGAGTTTCTAAAGGATTACGACATGATAGTCCTCTATCACCCCGGCAAAGAGAATGAGGTGGTGAATATTCTTAGTCGACTTTCAATGGCTAGTACTGCTCATGTTGAGGATGATAAGAAGGATTTGTTTCTTAATATTCATAGATTAACCCGATTAGGTGTTCGGTTGGTTGATTATAATAAAGGTGGTGTCATTGTTCACAATGGTTCAGGATCGTCCTTTGTGTCAGATGTGAAAGCCAAGCAAGGTCTTGATCTGATTTTGGTTGAGTTGAAGGAAACGGTGCTTAAAAAGTCCACTGAGGCTTTTCCAAGGGGTAGATGGTGTGCTTTGGTATCAAGGTCATTTGTGTGTTCCCAATGTTGATGATTTGAGGGAGAAAATTTTATCGGAAGCCATAGTTCATTCTCGATATTCTATTCACTCGAGAGCCACCAAGATGAACTGTGACTTTTGGAAGGTCTATTGGTGGAATGGGATGAAGAAAGATATTGTGGAATTTGTTGGTAAATGTCCTAACTATATACAAGTAAAAGTTGAGCAACAAAATCGGGACGTTTGCCCCAAGATATTAGTATACCTATTTGGAAGTAAGAAGATTCGAATATGGTGTTTATTGTTGGTTTACCCCACACCCGGCAGCAATATGACTCGATTTGGGTTATTATAGATCATATGATGAAGTTGGATCATTAATTCTCGTCAAGGGTTCTTATTCGTCGGAAGACTATACTAAGTTGTATCTAAGGGAGATTGTTAGGTTGCATAGAGTGCCCCTATCCATTATCTGTGATTGTCGTACCTAAATTACTTCTCAATTTTGGAAGTCTTTCAAGAAAGGTCTTGGTACTCGTTTCAATCCTAGTACGGTCTTTCATTCTTGAACTATTGAGCAAGCGGAGTGTACTATTTAAACTTTAGAAGATATGTTGAGATCTTGTGTGATTGACTTCAAGGGTAATTAGGTTGATCATTTGCCTTTGATTGAGTTTGCTTATAATAATAGCTATCATTCAAGCATTGGTATGGCTCCATTTGATGCTCATTATGGCAGGAGGTGTAGATATCCTATACGTTGGTTTGAAGTTGGTAAGATTGCTTTGATTGGTTACGAATTCGTACATGATACTATGGAGAAGGTTCAACTTATTAGAGAAACTTTGAAAATGGCTCAAAGTGGACAAAAGTCCTATGTCAATTTTATATAAAGAGATATAGAATGATGTTGATGATTGGGTCAACTTGAAAATTTCACCCATGAAGGACGTAATGAGATTTGGAAAGAAAGAGAAACTTAGTCCCTATTATGTGGGCCAATATCATATTTTAAGGCGTATTGGTAAAATTGTTTACGAACTTGATTTGCCTAATGACCTAGAATCTGTATATTCAATTTTCCATGTCTCTTTGTTGAAGAAATGTGTTGGTGATCTGACATTTGTTGTACCATTGGAGAGTCTTGATATAAAGGAGATCCTTTCTTATGAAGAAGTTTCGGTTGATATTTTCGACTGGCAAGTTAAAAAGTTGACGAATAAGGAAGTGGCATTCGTGAAAGTGCTGTGGAGGAAGCAAAGGGTTGAGGGTGATACTTAGGAGGCTGAGGCCGATATGATGTCATGTTATCGCCATCTCTTTCCCTCAAGTTTTCTAATGCATGTATGCTCATGAAAAAAATGATTTTGAGATTTTGAATTAGCTTACTTGATTGCTTCATGATGATGTGCAATTGAGCATAATTTGCATGTGTGCCCTATGAAATGAGGTTTAAATATGTTTTAGCTTGGAGTTGACGTTCCTCTTTGATTATGTGCCATTTGATGGAGTTGCATTCATGTTGGACTATTACATCTCTTCTCCTATCCTCCTTGTATTGCCTTCAGTTCCATTCGAGGAAGAATATTCCCAAGGGGCAGATAATATAACCCCTCAGATCTCAAAGGGGAAGGACTGCATTAAATGGCAACACCAGGTTCAGGTCTATGAGACCAGTTTATGCCCCTAGGACTTTCTACGGGTTGTAGACCAGTCTCGTAGAAAAGGGGAAAAATAAATTTTAAAATCAAGTCCTAGTACCTCTTTCTATGATCCACCAAGACGGATTGTCAATTGGTCTACGAGTCGTAAATGGGGTCTCGCATCTAGGTCCATAACTTAGTGAATTTTAAGGGGTCAAGTTAGTTTCTTCTACTGGTGTCTACGGACCGTTGGAAGACCTACGAGCCATAGACAGCTCTCTTCTAAATTTGGTCTAAAATTATGGTTCTGAACCTTTCTACGGACCGTTGGTCCAAACCGTAGAAGGGCTTTGACAGTTATTTTGGGTCTTTTCCCTAATTATTTTAAACTAATACTATGTCGTTTTATCTTCTAACATAAGCCCTATATAAAGATTTTAATTCCTAAAACTATCCATTTCAAACCCATTTTCCTAATTCCCCAAAACTTAACCAAATTCACTCCCCAATTTCCTCTCAACCTAAGCAAGAAGAAGGAGCTTCAAGTCTTCAATTCACCATTCATCTTGGGATTTGAGTAGCAAGATATGTGGGTATTCACCCATTTAGTCCATTCCTTCATGGGGTCCCCAATGTTTTCAGTTCTTCAATTTCAATTCAATTGATCAAGTTAAGGTTTCAATTCAATTTTTGTGGGTTTCATCCAATTTTGATTTATCATTGTTGATTAAGTCTTCTAATGCATGATTCAATGTTAATAATGATATTTAGTTAAAATTATATTGACCATGCCGAAATTATAATTTTTAACTATGAACCTATGATGAACCCATAAACCTATTAACTATGAAGTTATGAAGATGTGCATGTTTTTATGAAGTTATTGTAATTGGTTTTGGGATGCTTTGAAAGGGAAATATCAATGTTATTATGAAGGGTTTTCTCACATGCTATTGTGATCATGATTGTGAAAGGTATTTCTCACATATGGATTCACATTGGTGAAAAAGTTTTCTCATCCTTGTTGAATTGTGTTTAAGGAGCTATTGTATGTTTTGATCTCAAAAGTGTTGATTGGTATTGACCATTGCCTTTTCTATGTTACATTGATATTTGAATTTTTTCTATTTCGTTGGGATTTAGACTTAGCACCAAGAAATCTTTGAGGTGGAGGCTCAAATAGGGTAGTCTCCAGTAGTAACCTCTAGTCTCAAACTACGTGTCTCTGTAGGATTATCTTAAATAACCTAGCTAATGGATCCACTTTGGATATATCATATGTACGAATTATAACTTGGCAAGTAGAATCCCCTTCTTTCGGCATGAGGAATATACCGGATTCCATGATATAGCTCGCATTGTCTTATTGTCGATTAAAGCTAAGATCCCACAAAAATGACTATGTTTCTTTAAAGTTTTCTTATGTCTCTTATTTTAAATGCATTGACTATATTTCATGTATTATATGCCTTTTCTTCTTTAAGATTTTAAATGCTCAAATGTTGGTCATGCACTACATGGTTTAAGCCATTCATGCTACCATGCCTATTTGATGCATATTGTCCCATACTAAGTACATTCCATGTACTAATGCATACTTGTGCCTACATTGTTTCACTAATGCAGGATTTGACACTCCTACCTCCTATACTTGTGGCTAGTTGATTTCTTTGACATTGAAGATTGGTGAATCCTCATGTTTTGAGGACCGAGATACTTTTACTTGGTCATGTCTTTCTTTAGTTTTCAGATTTTTATGTGATGTAGGGTTACGTCCCAATCACTTTCCTTATGATGTAATAGATGGCTTACTAAGACTTATGATTAGACTTGTACTTTGTTAAACTCCTTTATGATATAAAACCATGATTTTGAACTCTTTACTTCTATTATCTTGTATGATATATGCTAAGTGTCATGTGTAGGGACGGTTGGGGTCCTATAAACACCTAGGGGATACTTTAGGTCGTGACATCATCACATTCTCCTTTTCAATACATTGTAGTATTAGCAATAAGACGGAGTGAATTGGTGGTCTCAAATAATGGACATACTAATTTTAATTTCAAACACGAACATGGTAAAAGGAGGACGCTTCCAACCTGAATCTTAAGCAAATTGTGGACGATATCATTTACTACAAGAAGAGGGATGGAATCCAAATCACTTAGTATTACTAAAGAGGGAAACCAAGTAAGTAATTTTCTTGCTAAATTCTCATCAAGCAACGACGAGGACTTGAATCAATTCCTTCCAACATCTTACGGTGAAGACCAACTTCAACATGACAAGCGCCAAATGCCCATTCTTAGGTCGAAGTATAGCAAAGCTAGTGTTTTTATAAGATGAGTTTTTTTGGGTACATAGTTAGCATCACAAATTGTATAATTTATTAGGATTTTTTGTACTTTGGGTGATGGTGTCACCAAGTAATTACAAAGTTGTGTTGTATTAATGACCTGTTTTTTGATAATAAACCGAAAAAAATATACATGTAATTTCAATTCCAAGGACACAAATTGATTGTAATGTGCAAAAAAGCAAATACTATAGTGCCTACTATAACAAAACATAGAAGGGGAGGAGGCGGAGGAAGTTGAAGTATGTCAATGAAGGATACAAGTTAGATATTTTGAAAAAGAATATATAGCATTAAAAGCATGATGGCAGCTGACCACATTATTACATTCTTATGTATAAGTGCATCCAATCATGAATGTTATATATATTATTACTACACTAGATTTGACTTGCAAATTCAGAAAGGTGTGAAATTTGTACATGACAAAGAACAAACATAATGAACAAAAAAGTACTTATCAAATTGAGCAGTAAAATACGGAGAATATTTTTGATAATTTGTTAAAACAGTCTAAATAAAGTTACGAAACAAAAGAGAAATCTCACATTTAGTCTATCAATATAAGATATAATTTCAATAACATATCTCACTGTCTTGAAAATATCATATGACACAAGAAGAACAACCACCATCCTTACAGTACGAAACCAAACCATTATAATCCTTAATCAGAGCAATCCAATATTGTCTTGATTTTTAAAACTGTAGAGCTCAAAAGGGTATGAACAGAAGTCACTGCACTCTTCTGTTCCTTCTGAGAGATTGAATTATCATTGGGATGACCAATGATTAATATTTGAAAAGCTATTGTCAAAATTGAACCATTTTGTGCATTTCCATTATTGTCTCTGCCCAAGGAGTAGTGACCATAAGGACTTATGATGAAACCTGAAGGCAAAGTGGTAACTTTTTTGGCATCACCTCCATTGATAATTAAATTGACTGTTGGTGCATCTATGGGTGCATAGATTAAAAATGCTCCAATTTCATCAATGCCTGACTCTTGAAGAACTAAGATGTTGTTCTCTTTTGATACATAAGGCTGCATATACATTACAACAATTGAAGAAATATTAGTGTAAGAACTAAAAAAATAAGAATTAGTGAAAGAAATTTTTTTACCGCTTCACAACAAAAAAGTCATCACTATTCCCATCTACTAACATATTATCAAAGAATCTTGTTTGCTACATCCTATTGGAAATAGTTCAATGACAAATTTCATAGATAAATCCTTATATAAGTTAGTTTATTTGATTATTGAGAAATAGTGAAATACAATTATTTGATAATTCAAGCAAAAAATAACAAATTAATAAATAAGTATGACAAATACCTGAATGATTGTAATATTGTTTCCTGGAATACTTCCTGTATTTATTCGAGCTAACTCAGTCACATTATTCCCAACGGTCAAAACATCCCACTAAAAATAAAAATTGAAATCAAAATCAAATGATAAATAAAATCATAAAAAAATGATAAACAAAATTATAATGTAATAGTAAGAAGTTAGTTCATGAGATGATTATTTAAAGATCATTTAATAAAACTAAAAATAAAAAAAGCTATGTAAAATGAATGTCAAGAGATAAACATGTAGACAACATAATATAAGAGTTGAGTATGAGTATTAGTAGATTAGTCTAATTCAGGACTATTACTTAATGGTTTCGAAGATTTTTAACAAATAACTCATTTTACTTTTAAAATTATGAGTTCAGATGCTCTTACTTTTTATAAGTGTAGTTTTAGGGTTTGTTTGGTTTAAAAAACAAGTTGTACAAGAATTGATAACATAAAATTTATTTTTTATCAGATGTTTGATTCAATGCATTAAAAGTTGAATCTTCAGAGAAAGTATACATACAATCAAACCTATATATAACAACATTCAAGTATAACATATAAGTTTTCCTTAATACCGATATCAATATCATCATTTCAATATAACAACTAAATAAATATTTAAACAAGCCATGTCACTATAAAGATGTTCAAACATACCTGACACCTTGTATTATCATCTTTGAGAAAATTAAAAACAGTTTGGAATGAATGAGGAAGCCATATGGAAGTAGAAGCAGTGACAATGAAGCCTTTTTTTTGGGTAAATTCTTCATTTTTTCTTATCGATATTCTATCTTCACTGTTCAACTGTGATGAAGTTGGATAAACTAAATTTCCTGTCATGCTCAAGATTTCACAAAACCTCTTCACCATCCTTAGAGATATTTGCATTACATTGTCGAGACCTTCTGGATCATTAACCACTGAAAAATACAAAATTAAAAAAAAAAATGAATATTGACTTATCAAATAAGTGTGTGATAGAAGACATTTTTGAGAGAATAATTTATTTTTGGAAAAATATTTAGAAAAAATTATTTAAGATTGATCCTATTGATAATAATATTATCAAATTAGATACTATTTTCATTAGATCTTCGAGTGTTAAAGATGATAATAGTGTATGAGTGACGTTAAAGAATTGATATAACGTTGAAGTTGAGATAAGTGTGAAGGAAAATGGCTTCTCCCAAGATAAAAGACAAGTGATCATTTTTCCTACCTCCTTTAGTAGGAAAAGATTTCTCTAGAACTTCAATAGGACATGTTTTGATTTAAGAATTGAGATAATTGAAAAGAAAATGACTTATGCCAAAATATAATAGAAGTGGTCATTTTCAGCCACTTTAGAAAACTATCATTTTCTTTAGTCAAACAACGATAAATAACTTATATTTTCAAAAAGAAAAAATAATGAAACTTTCACGTCAAGCCACATTTATAGAAAAAGAAATTTAAAAAAAAAAAATGTTATGTTTAAAACAAACAAAGAAAAGAGGATGGATTTGGACCCCATCAAGATTTTCTTTCCTTAATCAAAACCTCCTTGAGATGACTAACTTTATTTTTTACATAAATCCTTATCTTATCATATAAATTTAAATCCAACAGACTGTAAATATATAAAGAAGGGTACATAAAACATAACCTCCTTTGAGATCATCCCTAGTAAAACATGTTGCACCCACTTCAACATTGTATCTCTCAGACATTCTTTGAAGTGTAATGATCCATCTTTTAGCTCCATATGTTTCATAACCAATCAACAAGTTTCTAAAGATATGATGAACCTGCATTTTTTCATCTACTTGAACATGTTCAATCCAAGTAACCTACAAGGAAAAAAACAATCAAGAAAGCAAAAAAGTATATATATTTAGCTTGACCATTGGAAACATTTATGATAGGAACGTACGTTGAAAAAATGTATTTTTTAGTAATGGTTTATAAGATGAGGATTCTGTAATATCATATAAGAGAGAAAATAACTCATCCACTCTTGTTTTTATTTCAACATCTTAGGCATGAATAACATAATGTGAGCTAGGTTCAACACTATTAAATTAAGATTAAAAAAAAGTATTGAATCTAATGCAATCCCAAAATACAACTTATAAGGTTGTTGAAACAAACAAACTCTTATAGAAATACAAGGTAAAGTTGCGTACAACAAAGAAAGTAGATGATTCTTACCATACTTTCACCATTGTCCATATCTCGAATTGCACAACCAGAAGGAAACTTCCAAGCATGAGAAGGTTCACCACTTTGAATCTCTTTGATTAAATCATATGAAACATCCACCATAATCCATGTTGTTTGATCAAGTTTTCTACAATAACGTATAAAGAAATAATCCCTAGCTTCCAACAGAGGAGATAGAATATGCAACTTTTCATACATCTGTTTTCAAGAACCACGAAAAAATTAGTTTATTTTTATGAATAAAAATTAATATTTATTTAATATTTAGGAAAAAATATATAAAGATGAACTAATATAATTTTACCAATTGTATAGAGCCTCCCATATTTCCCGAATCAAGTACTTCAATAGTCCTAGCTTTTGTGACAATAGTAGGAAACATGTTCATCCATTTAATCTGCATATACAAAATCAATCATTTGAAGTATATGATTATTGATTAAACAAGAGCAATAGTGCTTCAAAATAGCTTCAACTAATCAGAGTCATATAAAACAAAATAAATGGATTATTAATCCAAATTTCTGCTTGAAACTCATGTAATTAACTTATTTTTCTTTTGGTTAGCCCTAAAACTCCTATATAAACATTCATTGTCCATATTTGTCAATCTATTTGAACTCATCTTAATTAATTATATTATGAAAGAAAATTAAAACAAAATGGCCAATTTAAAAATAGTCAGAAATTCCAAGTCAATTAAAATAACGATAAAATTCAAAAGTCATTAAAGCATAAGAAGTCATACTAGTATCTTCGATCTCTCAGTTTCCCAAGTTTGAAAGTCATGATCTAGCTTGGTACATCAAAAGCTTTTAGTTTATAGCAAATTATAAATCATTGGCTACTTCCGATAAATCTACCCAAAAAGCTGTTAGCACACACATTTTTTGCCCTTTTAAACACATGAGAGAGAGCTATATATATATATATATTAAATAAAGCAAGACTTAGACCCTAGTACTAACACATTTTAAAGATGTATCAACCTAGGTCCAAAACAAATAATATGTACCACTCGTGAGGTGAACAATTATAACATGAAAACGTTCAAGAAACTTACCGGATCAAGAAAATTTTGAATCAACTCAATTGCATTCATTGGCACAATTCCACAAACCTTCGATGATTCAAATCGAGTAGTCGGTGATTTAGAAGGTCGATATTGATTTGGAAATAACTTGTCATGAACCTCACGATGAATAAAACACCCCTCATAACATGGTGATTCTATCCAAATTGGATTATTCAATTTCAAAAGTTCAACCATTTCATTCATAGCTGCAACACCAATCTCAAAAATAGATGGTTTATCCCTATTATCATGATGAAATCCATAATTTTCCTGTAGTGATGAGGAAATTATTGGGATATTATTAGTATTTATTGTATGTTCTCTAACATTAGTATTATTATTTTGATGAAAAGTAGGATGATATGCATTGAGAGATCCACATATATTTTGCCTCAACAAACTTTCATTAGATGAATTTGATGGAGATCCGGGAGTGGATTTTTTTGGTGCAAAATTTGAACCCATCACAGAAGACCTTTCAAGAATACTTGGGATGATATTCAATATTCTTTCGTTCTGCAAAACAAAAAACAATTCTTAAGTTACTTACTATACAAAGTAATCATATCACATCATCATCATATCATTATCGTCATTTATTATTTGATGGAATTTGTATCATATACTATCTTATTAAACTTATATGCAAGTTATATCAACGTAAAAATCTTTTATGTTGTTCTTACTAGCCCCTTGTGAATTTTATGTACATGAAATTGATATGATCTACTAGGAATTCTAAAGAAAACATATATTAATCGTATTTTTGTTTAACTTGTACAAGATGCTAAATTTATTTAGCGAGAACTTCTTCATATTTATATACTTTAGAAGGAGACTACATTTCTCAAAGACGAGCCATAATTGTTTAGACATGAAATATCTACAATAATAACTAAGTTTACACATATTCAAATATAAAACTGTGTATTGAAATATCAAAACGAGAAATTTATAAAGCGAAAAAATTGATATAAAAGAAGAAGTACATAAATATAGTTATTATTTGAAATTTTACTTTGCATGGACGATTATAGGTTCACCATTCGTCATATTGAGTTCTTGTATACCATTTCATTAGGAATAAACAATAAATACACATGATTTAGAAAACCTTTCACTGATGGTAAATTGAGTGACAAAAATGCTTGAGAGTGTTGTAAACAATAAGGACAAATCAACCATGTCTTAGCATAGATAAGGCATACATGATTCCTTTCAAAATATCCATTAAGGAATTAGCTAGAAAAGAGATATCACATATAATCATAAAGAAAAAATTAATTGATTTTTTTTGTTAGTAAAGAAATAACAAGAAAAAAAACTAAGAAAATAAAATTACGGTTAAAGTTAGAAAATAGGTTGTGGTTCATTTTTAACCCAACTCATCCCAAATAATCTTTAACCCACTCATTTGTTTATTCAAACCATCCTGACTAGACTGGGAAATAAAGACATGTGACATCTTGCAAGTTGATAACTAGGAAGAAGCTTAAAAAAAAAAAAAAATTGGAAATAGTCATTTTTTGGAAAGAATTTAAAAATCTGGAAATTTGGTTATGGGAAAAAGTGAATTTTTTGGTCAACTTTGAACAGTCATAACTCCTAGCTCAAGATGAGTTAGGTGTAGTTCCAGTTATGTTTGTGAGGCTTGTGGAATGATCTTTCCAACGCCGTCGAGTTTACTCGATTCCGAGTTCGTATGAGTGAGTTATGCCCTTTCGAAGTTGGGATGTTGGCATAGGGCAGTGTAGTCCGAAATTGTAAGGGTATTTTGGTCTTTTCCCTAACCATTTCTTTTGGATATATTAAGGTTTTAGACTGATTTTAAATCAGTTTTTCCTTTTTAAAGTGAGAGTTAGGGATTTTGAGAGAAGAGAGAAAGAAGAGGAGAAAGAGAAGAAGAAGCAAAGTTTGTCAAGATCGTCGTGGTTTTCGTCGGGGGTGATCCCTAATAAGGTATGTGAGATCATAGTGTTGGGTTGGTTCTTTCCCCCACACGCCAAACTCGTTTTAATTCCGAGAAAAGATTGGTTGTGTTTGTTGAAGTTGTTGGTTGTGTTTGTTGAAGTTG